AGTGTGGTTTATTTTTGCATATTGAGTGTATCGATATCTTTTAGTTAGCAGATTATATTGAAGAACTGAAGACGATATTGAACTGAAGATTCTTCAGCTCTTGAGCAACTGATTGCTGCTGGCTCACTTTCTATATATATCAAAGAGATTTTTTTTTAACAATAAACATCTAAGCTGCTGCAGTTAAGCTGTGACATTGTAAAGTTTAAAAAGGAAAAGAATTAGAAAAAGAAAAAAACAGAAATCACGAGCATTTTACTACTGCAATAACAAATCGGGATTTCTAGGGTATGTGTGCGGCGCTAGGGTTTGTGTGGTGTGTGTCATTTCTCAACAATCTCATGGAGTGGAAAACGTTTTTCAGGGATCCCACTTTCTGGTGGGACAACAGGTTCAAGAAGAAAAACAAGTTCTTCTCAGAGTCCTACCCGGATTTCAAACATGTTTCTACCGGAGAGAGCCTCTGGATCGCCAACAGGAAAACACCGACCTGGGTCTCTGCAAAACTCGAGGCGCTCGCTGACCCAGCTGTAGGTAAGGCCACCACGGCCCGCTACAAATCTCCACATACCCCACCTGTAGCTGGTGATGAACCGGTGAGTTTAGGGAGGCTGATACACCGCGTGAGAGACTCAGCTGAGAGCAGATCCCTTTCTTTGGGAAAACAAGCCCATGAAGCTGTGCTCAAGAGTGATGAGCACAAAAGCAACATCTACTTGTTGACGGGATTGATCGATATGTACTGCAAGTGTGGCGAGCTTAAGGAGGCTCGCAAGATTTTCGACTCCATGGGAACCCGGAGTGTTGCGTCCTACAACGCGATCATCCAGGGCTGCGGCTCGAACGGGCAAGCTGAACTTGCTCTGGAGTACTACTCTGCCCTGAGAGCTTGTACCACCATTCAACCCAACGATCGGACACATGTCGCGGTGATCAGCGCCTGCTCCAGACTTGCTACCGAATCCAGCGAGAAGAGGGAGAGGGCTCTACGCATTGGGATGGAGATCCATTCAATGCTGAGCAAGGAGAAGAAACAGCTAGATCTGTTCGTGGCGACTTGCCTGGTAGACATGTACTCCAAGTGTGGCGAGCTTGAGGAGGCTCGCAAGATTTTCCACTCCATGGGAACTCGGAGTGTTGTGTCCTACACCGCGATCATCCAGGGGTGCAACACGAACGGGCGAGCTGAACTTGCTCTGGAGTACTACTCTGCCCTGAGAGCTTGTACCACCATTCAACCCAACGATCGGACTCATGTCGCGGTGATCAGCGCCTGCTCCACACTTGCTACCGAATCCAGCGAGAAGAGGGAGAGAGCTCTACGCATCGGGATGGAGATCCATTCAATGCTGAGCAAGGAGAAGAAACAGCTAGATCTGTTCGTGGCGAATTGCCTGGTAGACATGTACTGCAAGTGTGGTGAGCTTGAGGAGGCTCGCAAGATTTTCCACTCCATGGGAACTCAGAGTGTTGTGTCCTACAACGCGATCATCCAGGGCTGCGGCTCGAACGGGCAAGCTGAAGTTGCTCTGGAGTACTACTTTGCCCTGAGAGCTGATAACACCATTCAACCCGACGATCGGACACATGTCGCGGTGATCAGCGCCTGCTCCACACTTGCTACCGAATCCAGCGAGAAGAGGGAGAGAGCTCTATGCATCGGGATGGAGATCCATTCAATGCTGAGCAAGAAGAAACAGGTAGATCTGTTCGTGGCGAATTGCCTGGTAGACATGTACTGCAAGTGTGGCGAGCTTGAGGAGGCTCGCAAGATTTTCGACTCCATGGGAACCCGGAGTGTTGTGTCCTACAACGCGATCATCCAGGGCTGCGGCTCGAACGGGCAAGCTGAAGTTGCTCTGGAGTACTACTCTGCCCTGAGAGCTTGTACCACCATTCAACCTAACGATCGGACCCATGTCGCGGTGATCAGCGCCTGCTCCACACTTGCTACCGAATCCAGTGAGAAGAGGGAGAGAGCTCTACGCTTCGGGATGGAGATCCATTCAATGCTGAGCAAGGAGAAGAAACAGCTAGATCTGTTCGTGGCGAATTGCCTGGTAGACATGTACTGCAAGTGTGGCGAGCTTGAGGAGGCTCGCAAGATTTTCGACTCCATGAGAACCCGGAGTGTTGTGTCCTACAACGTGATCATCCAGGGCTGCGGCTCGAACGGGCAAGCTGAACTTGCTCTGGAGTACTACTCTGCCCTGAGAGCTTGTACCACCATTCAAGCTAATGCTTGCACCTACACCTGCGTCCTTGTTGCTTGCGGGAGTGTGATGGCGATCAAGCTCGGGAGGGAGATTCACCAGCTGGCGAAGCATGAAGGGCTGCTGAAAAACAATCCAGTTCTGGGCTCCAGCCTGGTGAGCTTCTACGGCAAATGCGGCGATGTTGATTCTGCTCAGGAAGCGTTTGACGAGTGCCGAGCTCGGGACGACACGGGTCTCTGGAACTCTCTCATACAGGCTTACACTCTCCAGGGCCGATCGATCGAGGCCTTGGAGCGTTTCTATTCCATGACTCAGGAGGAGGGCTGTAAAGCTGACGATGTGAGTTTTGTCTCGGTGTTGAACGCTTGCAGCCATGGTGGTCTGGTCGGGAAAGGAAGGCAGCTTCTGGATGAAATGCCCAAGCAGTATGGAGTCAAGCCACGTCTGGAGCATTATGTGTGCCTGATCGATATGCTCGGGCGAGCTAACCTCCTCGACGAAGCTGTGAGAGTTCTCAGAACCATGCCTTTTGAACCGGATGCAGTGGTTTGGACGTCCCTGCTCGGAGCCTGCCGGAAGTGGAAGAATTACACGATCGGCAAACTTGCATTTGAGCGTCTTGTGGAGATGGATCCCAAGAGCGGCACGCCCTACGCATTGATGGCCAATATATTTGGAAACCTGGGGATGCTCAGTGAAAGGGCCGCTGTTGTGGAGAGAATGAGAGGTGAAGGCAGCTTCAGGGAGCCCGGGAGAAGCTGGTGGACGGATGTTAGCTCTCTTTCTCTTCCTCGGGTATGTCTTTTAGAACGTTGATCACATCACTCACGTACCCCTCCTCTTTCATTCTCAGCAACAATTGCTTGAGCTTGGCCGTAATCTCGTCGCTCTGTGAGTGACTCCTATCCCTGACAGAAAAAGAATGCACTTTTCCTGGATCACCTGTGCGGCCACAGTGAGAAGCTTGCGCTGGGGTGTGCTCTGGTGAACTCGCAGCAGAAGGAGACCATCAGAATTGTGAAAAATCTCCGAGTTTGTGACGATTGCCATGCGGCCACTGCTCTCATCTCTAAGCTGGAAAAAAGGCTAATCATCTGCAAAGATGCCAGTCGGGTTCATGTGTTCCATGATGGCAGATGTTCCTGTGACAACTACTTTTGAAAACATGTCAGTGCTCTTTCTTGCAGTTATCCCTGGTTTTAAACCCTCCGTGAGTCAAGCAGAAACATGGGCCGCTGAGTGAGCATGCCTCGTCAAAGTACCGCCGCCAACCTGAACTTCACGGAGAAAAAATTAACATTTAAAAGTTAAAACTATGCAAAAGGAGGATGACACGTTGTCTTAAATTTAAATTTCTTTTTGGTAGCAGAATTGGGGAATGCTGACTAAACCTGCCCACAGGTGCCCTGAAACAGAGCGCCCAGATTCAGATAATAAGCCTTAGTATGAAGACTTGCCGGTACCCAAACTCTTTGCTGATAGCAAGTACCGACTCATGTTCCGGGAGGAAGGTGATGGCGGCTTGCAGCATGACCAACTTTGGGTTTGTGCTTCTAGAGCACGTTGAAAACATGTCGAAGCTGGTGACGATGGCATTTGTTTCTTGCAATGTACTCACCAGTTCTTCGGCAACGTCTTCCTTCCAGATTTTTTGAGCTTGTCGTGAGTGGTGACTTGCTTGCTCTCTCCTGTGACAACTTCTTCCAGCCTCTGGTGCCCAACCTCAAGACTCTCTTGTGGATGGAGCTAGCCCTACACAGTGTGTGTGTGTATCAACCAGCAGATGCACAAATCGTTGAGAATTAATTAGCAACAAGTGTGTATCATAGGCTTAGTACGTAGTGTACTAGTGTACATGTACATGTGTTTCAGCTAAATATAATGGGCCAAATACACCGAAGAAGTGTGTATAAGAATAGTAGAAACAAATTAAAAAATGTAAATTAAAAAGTGCAAAAGAAATGAAAATAAAAATTGTCCATCCTCATCAGTTTGCTGAAATTAAGTTGGATTCAATTCTTCCAGCTCCAAATATTGTGTGATTGAGTTGTAAGTTAATTAATAGTAGAAAATAAGAAAAAAACAAACATTGAAGAAATAGTGTTTGATAATATCGTCTTTGCTTTTAGTTTTTTATTTTCGAAAGAAAATTAGTGGGGGAGTGCTGGTAAAGATATCTTGGCTGTTCATTGGTTAATTAAATGAGCATGTTTAGAGATGTTTATAAAAGTTTAGCTCTGGACCAAGAGTTACCCGAAAATTAAAGTTCAAAATTTACGTTTTCCCTATTTGCACAATAACTTAAGCTAAAGTAATGTACTTACCCGTATTTTTTATGGGAAAATTATTATTCGCACGAAAAAAAAAGGTGAATTTAGAGGATTCTTAAGTAATTTTCAAAAACCCCGACCAAATCTAAAGTGTTGGGGTCATTTTAAAATTTATTCCGGAAATATTCGAGAAGATTCTTAGGTAAGGCTTTGGCGTGCCTGCGAAGAAGATCTGATCTCGCGGCACGGCCCGAGAATTAATGGCAGCAGCCGCGGAGATTTATGAGGAGAGGCCTGAGGAGGTGGAGGAAGCAGGAAATCCGATTTTAGGGTTGGAAGAGGAAACAGGGAAATGGGGCTGATCGAGCTGGATCTGGGCCTGCTCGTGCTCTATCTTCACCAACAGGAGGAGGAAGAGGTGCCCATGGAGGGAGAGGTGGCCATGGAGTGGGAGGAGAGCGCGGGGTGGCCGGGGTTGGCCGCGGATCTCTGAATCTGGCCCCGGGAGGATTGGGCCATGGTTCTCAGGCGGCTCGAGGAGGGGGTGCCCCGGGAGGAGGAGGCCATGGTTCTACTCTAGGAGGAGGACGCCGCGGTTCTTCTCCGGGAGGAGGAGGCCATGGATCATCGCCAGGAGGAGGCCAAGCCTCGGTGGGAGGAGCCGAAGCCACAGCGGGAGGAGTCCAAGCCGCGCCCGGAGGAGCCCAAGCCACGTCTGGAGGAGTTCCCCTGGAGCACAGCGTGCCGGGAGCTCCAACTACTTTGAGAACCATGGCGGTGAGTTTACATTTCTTAGGTTGCATGCATGCATGAGTGATTGAGAGCTCCCGGCCGGGTCATGAAGAAGAGGGAGATGACAGCGTCCCCGATCTGGAACAAGACCCGGATGCTCACATGGAGGAGCTCCACCACGAGGCTGTCCAGTTTGTGGATACCTCGGGTTTTGCTGCACCTGCTGCTGCGAAGAGAACCCGGGGAAAGAACTGGAACCATGCTGAGACCATGGTCCTGATTGATCTCGTTCGGGAAAAACATCTCGCGAAGATTGCGGGGGAGGGAGGAGCAGCCAGCATGTTCTCATGACGAAGACACAGCGCTGGAATCTCATCTTTCACCCTTTTGCTTTAGGGTTTAACTCTTTTCTTCAATTAGGTTTTGTTGCTTGCTGTGCAAGCTATTGCGGATGACAAGAGCCCCGGTCTCCAAGTGCTGCCTGAGGAAGAAGACTGAACTTGAGGTTCGTCGGGCTGTGATTGGGAGGAGGTTTTGCATCGGCCTGTGGTGGGTGAAGCCTTGAATGTCACCACCTGGAGTAAGTTTTCTTTGGAGTATTACGATGTGGGGAGGTGGAAGAGGAAACTTCAGATGGAGAAGAGGACCTTCTTCACCATTTGTGGCATGCTGGAGAGTGAGATCCGGAAGCAAGATACCGGTTGGAGGAGTGTGGTGCCGGTGGATGTTCGACTGTGGGTAACTTTGTACAAGCTTTTCAAGAACACAGATTACTTGGATCTGGCAGACAAGTTCGGCATTGGGGAGTCCACAGCTCATGAGATTGTCATGGACACTACTGTGGCAATTGTCAAGTGTCTCAGGTACAAGATTCATTTTCCTTCAACCGCCAATGAGGTTCAAGCTGTTACTGCTGGCTTTCGACAAGTGACAGGTACATTTTCTTATGTTTTTTGGATTGTTATAAGTTTTGATGACCAATGCCTAATGTTGCTGGGGCGATCGACTACTAGACTGGACGGCGAGAGCTACTACGACTGGAAGCAGCGGTACTCGGTCATCTTGCAAGGGGTTTGTGATGCCCAGAAGAGGTTGCTCAGTGTCTATGCTGGTGGCCAGGATGGTTCTAAAATGTTCTTTTTGCTCGTCCACGACAAGAGGGTTTTTCGTAATTCAACCCTCAGGAACAAGATTGTAGCAAGGGAGCTGCTGACATCACCCGCGGTGTTAGCATATGGTGATAGGATCAAGCCATACCTAGTGGGGGACAAAGGGTACCAACTCCAGCAGCATCTGATGATTCCACACACAAGTAAGTCTTCTTCATTCTACTTTCTTTTGTTCACTTGTTTTGGTTGTTGCTCAACTCCGAACCCGACACCATCCAAGGCAGCTTTCAACCTTCATCACCACCTTGCTCGGATTGTTATTGAGCAAGCATTTGGACTTCTTAAAATGAAGTTCAGATGCTTGGATCAAAAACAAAGGATCCAGCCAAAGTACCTTCCCAACATCATCAAGAGTTGTTGCATCTTGCACAATTTCTTGATTGATGTTGGGGAGACTGATCTTCAGGTGGAGATCCAAGCTTGGAGGAAAGAGGTGAAAAGGCTCAAGGACCAGGACCTCTTTGTCGATTACGGTGATCCCGAGCAAGCGGAAGGGGAACCTTGTGAGGAGTTGCACAGTCCAGAGGATGCGAAAGAGGTTAGAGAGAACCTCACGTTTTCCCTCTGTCTTTGCCAGTGGCGTTCGTGTTTGCTTTGAAATTTGCCGGGATATAATTCTAAACATTTGAATTTGAATTAAGTGAATTTTAAGTGTTCAAATGCATTGTTTTTAAGTGCGAATCCGAGGGTGTTTTTCCACTTAAATCTAAGACATGTGCGAATGCAAAAGTCCTTTGCAACACAAATTTTTTCAATGTGGGAACCCAACTTTCTTAATTTTTAAAGTGGGTCGCTTAAGTTTTTTTTCACTAAATAAATGTGCGAATTGGTCCTTTCTCAACATAAAAGATAATGTTTTGCCAAGCTTACCACAACCACTGGCAACCTTGATTGTCAATGATGTTGTCCTTGGCTGTGGTATCTATAACCATACAGCTAGGGCCAAAGTTACACCACCAATGGCCCATAGCAAGCACAGCCATGGTGGCACAAGGTCTCGCCCATGGCTAGCACTACCTTGGCTGACCTTAGCCGTGGCATAGCCATCTACTAGAGGAGCTAGAGGAGAGCTGTTGTAGGAGGAGTGCTAGAGGAGTTGGAGGAGAGCTGTTGCAGGAGAAGTGCTGGAGGAGCTGGAGAGCTACTATAGGAGGAGTGCTGGAGGAGTTGGAGGAGACTCAATGCACAAGGGGTTTTGGAGGAGCTAGAGGGTGAGAAAAAATGATTTGATGAAATTAAAAAAAAACTGAAAAATCCAAGAGTAGGATTGGCAAAAGTACAATGTGGAAGAGAGTTGTTGCAGGAGGAGCACTAGAGGACATGGAGGAGAGTTGCTACAGGAAGAGTGTTGGAGGGAGGAGATATGTTGCATTGGAGGAAAGTAAGAGCCACTAGAAGAGTTGGGCACTAGAGGAAAATAAGAGTTGCTATGTGGAGAGTTTGGGCATTATACACAATACCATCTACACTAACTAACCCTAACTGTTTGCTTTGATATTGTCAATTTTTACATAAATAAAATATTTATATGATGTACTCATTTTAATACATTTTTCTATTCATATGTACTTCTTGTTTATCTCTCAAAGAGTTCAACTAATGTTTTTTTTATCAATTTTATTCTTCCTATAGCAAGCTTAAAGCAAATAGTGAAGAATATAAGGAAGAAGTCCTACACTCTTGCAATACTAAAAGCTTGCAAACTTTCCTTTAAGAACATTATTACTAGTAAAAAAGTTCACTTTTTTTGAGTAGTCTGATGTGTTTGTCTTTATAGCATGTCCATAAACAGAAAACAAGGATGCTCCTCATAGTAGAGTATCACAGTGATAGAAGAAGTTTGAGCTTCTTCTCCATGCAATGGGCAACAATATAATCAAGTGGCTGTAGTGATTGATACAAAAGTTCTCCTGGATCTTGCTTGTTAGGCTGGCGTGGCTAAGACACTGATAAAGGTAAGTTCTGCAAAGATTTAATAAGGTTTTGCTGGATTGTCCTTACTGGGCTTACAGTTAGATCATGGGTGATCAGGAGCTCACAGTTTTGCACAAGATTTGATGAAACATGTTTCTTGCTTGAGCTAGGATCCTTGATCTGCCATGGGTGGTGATCAATGCATTCACAAAAGGTGCCGGAATGAAATCCAACAGCTTAAGCACTTTCAAAAGACACCCATTCTAGGCATTTGCAGTGATCATTGCATTCCAAGAGACCAAAGTCCTCTTGCTCAAAACTTCCTGCTATGCTCATGATCACATTTCCAAGATTGAGCTCCATGTTTCTAGAATTCTTCTGTGAATCGTCACTTCTTTCTCATACTGCACAGGTCACAAATCACCCAAGAAATCGCCTCATGGAGGCTGCAACGCTCAATAGTTCTAGGACTGGCAGACAAGCCCTGTCCCATGGACAGCCACTGCTCCTTACGTGGGAATGTGCACATTACAGAGGTTCGTTTCTGTTTTCCAGTCTGTCTTTTAACTCCTCAAATGTCTTGATCATTATGCCATTGAGAAAATACAGTGTTGGGCAGACTGTTCGAGCTAAAATCCTTTCAAAACGCAAAACCAGCAGAAAGCACAGAAATGCTGCCACTTTGGATTTATCTCTACGTCCATCTGAGCTTGCAGGTCTGTATGGTGGCCCTTTGAATTAGCTTACTTATCATGACTTGCAGGAAACGATGCTGCATGCTCAGTGATTACTTTCGAGACCGTAACCATTGAACAGTCGGATATCAGATACGTTCAAGAAGTAAAGGACAACTGGGCATGGCTAGTCCTCTCACCCCATCTTAAAGGCTGCCTTTTTATACTGGACACGTCTGACGATCCCTCGGAGCTTGAACGTTTTAGAGCGCTTCAAAGTCGGGGACCCGTTCCAGTGCCATATAAGAAGTGTGAACCACGAAAAGTGGATTTGTCTCTACACCCGAAAACAAGTGACGAACAATTCAAGAAAGGCGACCTGTTAGACCGACGAATCACACGAGTTTTTGCTGGTGTTGGCGGACATACTGTGCAAGGCAGATGGGAAAGTTTCGGAAAAGTTCATGTAACGATACATGGATTGATGACCCAGCCAGTTTATTTACAGAGGGACAGTTTGTAAGGTCTTGGATTTAAAACGACCAGGGAGGGGAAAGATGGGCTTGGAACTTTCAGTAAGTTGGTGGACGTGGTGGTTTTGAGTCCCTTCCGAGCTATCAAACACTTGAAAGGTAACTTCCGAGATTTGCATTAAATTTTTTTGACTCTGCATCCAATGCTCGTATTGTCAATTCCGTGTTGGAACTTAAGCAAGATATGAAGTGCAAGTAAGCAGAAACCTTGCATGCTGTGGACATGACTTGTTTTTGTGTTGCAGGGTTTTGTCAAGAATGTGACGGAGAAAGGTTGTTTTGTGGTCCTGGCACCTTCACTTGAAGCTAGAATTCAACTGAAGAACCTATCAAACTCGTTTGTACAAAACCCTGCAGAAATGTTTCCACCAGGCAAGGTGATATCGGGAAGGTATGAACTTTTCTCCGTATGGAAGTGTTTGCTGATATCTTCTTCTTCGTCAGAATTTTAAGCATCGAGCCATTGTCTGGGCACATTGAAATGTCTTTGACGGCAACAACGTCACAAGATTCAAGTGGCTGGAAGAAGTTTGGTGCTGGAGAGATCGTTAGTGGCCGCATACACAACATTGAAGCATTTGGGATCTTCATCAGCCTTGCCGAGAGCGATGTGGCAAGCTCTCTCTCTATCTTGGTTTCAAGTTCTTAGTCTGTGCTCCAGGTTGCTTGTGTCATGTCTCTGAAGTGTCTTACGATTTTATTCAAGACTTGTCAACACTTTACAAAGTCAGTCAATGGGTTCAAGTAAAGATTCTAAAGGTGAGAACAAAAGCTTTAGTAAAACCACAGGGTTATGATTTCCCTCTACAGGTTGATGCGGAAACCAAACGTATATCTCTTGGAATGAAAGCGTCATATCTGACCCCTGAGGATGGGATCGAGCCGATGGAGGAAGAAGCTATAAATGAAGAGCCTTCGAACACAAATGTGCTCATGGATAATGATGAGAGGGAGGAGGAGGACTACTTGGATCTGGCATCAAAACGATTTCCACAGCTATGCATGTCGATCCACTCTCAACAAAGACGTTGAGGTACAGTGCCAATTGACTTGAAAGAAGTTATTACAGAAGGACCAGCCTCCAGAGACCAAGGACGACTTTGAAAGGCTTGTAGCAGTGTCACCAAATAGTAGCTACATGTGAATCAAATGCATGGCTTATTGGATGTGTCTTGCGGACCTGGACAAAGTGCAAGCAGTGGCTGAAAAGTAGCACTCTACTCACATTTGATTCTATTTTTCTTTAGGTGTTAAAATCCAGGCTCTTTTTTATAGGGCATTGGAGAAGATAATTTATTGAGAAGAAATGGAAAAGATGAACATATGGATGGTTTATCTCAACCTAGAGAAGCATTTGAAGAGCAAATGGCAATTACTTTAGATGGTTATAATGATCATGGAAACTACTATAGTAAGCATGCTTGTGTTTGGGGATGGAGATCAAAGGTTTGGTAGAAGACCTCACTGCTTTGAGTGCTAATGTTAGGGATATATTACAACAAAGTGCGGCAATTTGTTACATGCCAGCTTTGACCACATGGTCAACATTGGTCAAAGGAATGCTCAAGGGTTTATGAAGGCATGTTAGGGTAAGGAACTTAAGTGTGATGGTGCAGAGGAGCTTTTGAGGTAGCTCAAGTGGTTGGGTTCAAGAGGAGGCGTAATCTAGTCTAGGAAGACTAAATTGTTGTTTTTTTGTGCTAAGTCATAACATTGGTATTAGAGGCATTGGTTGTGATGGCCAACTAAGTTGAACACTGGAATCCTTTTGTTGATGGTGGTGCCAATGATGGTATTGACAGAGTTGTGGAGGTTTGGACCATGGAAGATGTTGTTCACGAACTGCAAGCCCTTAATAAAAATCAGCAAGAGATGCAAGACAAGATGTATGGCATGATGAGTACCTTGCGTGAGCATGTTGAGGCACTCAAGGCTGGTCGTGGTAGCACTCTAAATAAGCCTTCCTTGGTAGATTGACTCAAGATTCCAACCTTTTTCGGTGATGGTGGTGTGGATGAGTGTCTAGTTTGGCTAGCCAATTGGAAGAAGTTTTTGGCTGCTAGAGGAACTCTAGATGCAAAGGCTTTAGTGGCTATTCCAATGGTTTTATATGATGTGGGTATTTGGTGGTGGAATTGGCTTAAGGAGTTTTGTGCTGCAGATAAGAAACCATTAATATCTATGATGGATGAGTTTGAAGCTGCTTTCCATTTACTTTTTGCCCCTCACTATGATATGAATAATTCTCACACTAAAATTTGACATTTTCAGCAAGGGAAAATAAAACTTGGGGACTATATTGAGAAGCTGACTCGCTTGATTAGCCGTGTTCTAACAAAGGATCTAGATCAGAACAAGTCCTACTTCATTGAAGGCCTTCATAGTGAGAGCATGTGGCAACATTTGCGTCATTCTCAACCTATAAAGAGAGTCTTTTTTTTGAGAATCATCATGATGATCATTGTAGACACAAGGATGGGAATAAACATCACAAGTTAAAGTCTATGGTGGCTACTTCAGGTACACAGGGGTTAAAGAAGCAAAAATTATTTATGAAGAATTATAGATAAGGTTGTCATTATTGCAGCAAGCTGGGACATTACAAAGCTGATTGTCCATAGTGAAGAGTAAACAACATGGCAATAAAAATGGCCAATCTTCTACTAATGGTAAGTTAAATATTAAGAAGCTGCAAACTTTGCAATGCAAGGATGATGGGGACGACCATTCTGGTTGGAGGAAGAGGCTTTCGAATGTTGCTTGTCAACTTAACTGTGTGTGGAATACGGTCAAAGACACTTATGCATCAGTTTAAATGTTGGAGGGCATGTTCTGTGGCGGTCCAATGTGGATTTTACTGGACAGTGGGAGCGATGACAACTTTGTTTCCACAAAGTTTGTTGAGGAGTATGGCCTGGTGACACGAGGAATTCTTCCATACATGGTGGAAGGTGCAGCTACCTCTACTTAGCATTTCGATACTTGTGTAGAAAGGTTAGAAGTGTTGGTTGGCAAAACCACACTTGTGGAGACTTTTTATCTCACAGATTTTCATAGTGTGGATCTCATTTTTGGGATGCCATGGTTGGTGAAGGTGGATCTGGAGATAAAATGGAGTATTAAGCATGTCTCATTAGAGTACGGTGGTGTTAAAGATGTGTGATTTGGAGAGGGAGTTCAACCTCTAGTTGTTATGCTCTCCGCTACATCTTTGAAGTGGGTTTGTCGTAATGGAAAAGAACTTTCAAATTACTTGCTTTTAATTTGTGACTTGGGGGACCAAGCTATGTGTGGAGGAGAGGCAATAGTGCGGACTATACTCGAAGAGTTCTCTGATGTTTTTCCCTCTAAACTTCCTCATGGATTGCCTCCATTACGAGGTGTGGAGCATGGGATTACGTTAGAGTTGGAGACACAGCCAATTTACTAGTGTCCATTTTAGTTGAGTTATGCTGAAGAGCAAGAAGTTCAACAAAAAGTCAAGGAGTTACTTGAGTTTGGATTTATTCAACCAAGTAAGTCTCCGTTTGGTGCTTTAGTCTTGCTTGTGAAGAAGTAAGACAGTTCAATGAGGATGTGTTTTGATTACCGTGCCTTGAACAAAAAGACTGTGAAGGACAAGATGCCAATGCTGCATGTGAATAATATCTTAGAAAAGCCTTGTGAAGCACGAGTGTTTACTAAGATTGATATGAGGAGGGGATATTATCAAATTGCAATGGAGATTGCATATCTTCTGTTAGTGCAATTTGCTTACAACAATAGCTAACACAGTGGAACCAAGTTAAATCCTTACTTTGCCATGTTTGGAAGGCATCCTTGAACAACAGTGAAGTTAGAATTGCATTTGAGTAAGAATGCTCAAGAAAAGCTTGATTTAGAGGCGACTGATCTGGCCACAAAACTTGATGAGATTTTGGATGTTTGCAAATTTAATTTACAAGTAGCTTAGGATAGAGCAAAGAAGTTTGTTAATGAGCATCGCTAATTCCAGGAATATAAGGTGGGTGATTTTGTTTTTGTGCAAATGATCTTTTTTTCAAATGAGCAATAGAACATTTTAGTGCCTTTGCAGAATGGGAAGAGTGATAAACTTTCTCATTGGCATGCTAATTCATATGAAGTGCTAGAACACATCGGTAAGGTGGCTTATTGAGTGCAATTGCTAGCTAGGGTGAAAATTCATTTGGTATTTTATGTTAGCCAATTGAAAGGTGTGCTATCTCAAAATGATATGCCTAATGCTTCTTTAATGTATACAATATACAACTGTGGAAGATGAATTAAAAGCTTGAACAAAGTTCCTCAGAAAAGGTGATCATTGGTATAACTTGTCTTTGGGACAAAGACTTTATTAAGGGGAAGAATTGTTAGGTGACAGGTCAATGGAGGCTCAAGGGTTTATGAAGGCAAAGAACTCAACCTACCCTGCATCCGGGCAAGGCCAAGGCCGAGTTTGATCGAATGGCGGTGTGGGATGTAGTTTCCTCCACTGCGATGGTCAAGGTGCTGGGCGATTGCGGGTGGATTGGATTGAGCAAGGCAGTGTTTGATGCGATGCCCGAAAGGAGCTGCAAGACGCTGCTGTGGGGATTTCCTTGCGGTGGAGAGATTGGGCGAGCAAGAGAGGTGCTGGATCGGATGCCCGAGACGAATGTGGTAGCGTGGATCCTCGTGCAGGGTTTCGTGCAGCACGGGCGAGTGGGTGATGCAAAGGCGACATTTGACATATAGAAGACAAGTGCCTGAGGTTGTACATATCGAAGTACAAACCAAAGAAGCAGATCAATGGATCTCCCTGCAACGCATCAATCAGCAGTCGAACGAGGCGAGCAGCGCATACTTGATCCTCTTCCAGTCGATCCACTTTCCTGTAACCAATGGTGCTACCGTTGCTCACCAGGTACCAGCCCAGCTTGCTGTCCCATGACTCGACGAGATATTCCATGACCCTTTGTCCCATGTTTACTGGCTCTCGGATCTCCAGTGCGTTGAACTTTGGAGACCTTGCCAAGATCAAGCTCGATCCAGCCGGTCGACTCCCCTTGCATTGGAGCCCAGAAAGTTTCCATACGCTCGTCAAGGATTTGCTTCGGCCCGAACGAAGAGCTGCGAATGCTGCTTGCTGTCACGGACAAGGGATTCGCTGCTAAGTTGACGCTGAAGATGGAATCTATGGCGGAGCTAAACCGCTCCAGCGTCTGGAAGTCGGATTCGTCGATCAGTCCTGACGAGTTTGGAGGGATGTTGAGCAGGAGCAAGCAGTTCCTGGCGGATGATTTGTAGAAAACGTCGAGCAGCTGCTCCAGGGATTTTGGAGCCTCGTTCCTGTGCCAAAACCAACCGGGCCTGATGGAGATATCGCACTCCGGAGGGAGCCAGTCGGTTCCAGCACTCTCTCAAGACATCAAGTACCTGTTGATGTTGCGAATTGGATCGAGTTTCACGAGAATGAAAGTTTCATGGAAGGATGGATTTTTCGTACTGGCCATTGCTCCTGCCGATCGTAATGGAAGATCTGTTCGCCATCGCCCAGCATGGTTGTCCGGCCTCGCCATACTCGTTCCCAACCCATCGGATGTCGGGGCCAGCATCGGAAAAGATGTTGGCACCAGGGATGAATCGTGTCAAACCAGAGCTCAAAATCGTAGCTCATGTTCACTGCAGTGGGTGATTTCGCACCATCCAGCCACACCTCGGAGATCGGCCCATATCTGCACGCCAAAACAGAATGCCGCGTCAAGGCATCTGCTGCTAGAGATGAAAACTACAAAAGCCCACAAGCTCGCGAGCTCCTAATGCTAAAACCGTTTGATGGGCTGGAGCAAATGCAAACATATCACACAGTGATCATGCCACCAAGAAAAATGCGTGAAGAAGAAGCAAAGAATGTCTCACTCACCCAGTAAGAAGCTCTGGGAGCTGAGCCAAGTAGAACTCGTTGTAGAGAAGAGTGTCGCCATAGCAGCTCTCGTGCAAATCCCATGGCGAGAGGTAAAAGCCCACGTCCAATCCACGCTCCCTGGCGGCGGCCACGAACTCGGCCACCACATCCCCCTTCCCTCCTCGCCAAGAGCTGCTAGCCACGGAGAAATTGGTGTAGGCCGAGGGCCACAGGCAGAACCCGTCGTGGTGCTTGACCGTGAGGATCACGAGCTGCGCGCCCGCGGAATTTGGCCGCGTCCATCCACTGCGACGCATTCAATCGCTTCGGGTTGCAGATGGAGGGCGATTCGTGGCCGGATCCAGCTCCGAGTCCGTGAATGTGTTGACGCCGAAGTAGAAGAACATCGAGAGGCGGCGCGAGTGGAACTGGAGCTGGCGCCATGAGGGAATTGGGCGGAGAGGGAGCGGTGGGGGCGAATTTAGGGCGACAGCTCTCAAGAACACTAGTATCTCGAGGAGCAAGAAAGAGAGATGGAAATTCATTGCTATAGAGAATGGAGGAGAGAGCCAATCTTATAAGCCCAGTGGAGTAGAGGAATTCTCACCAGAGAGTAAAATCTTTGCTTATCTTCTTCTTCTTAGCCGTGATCTCCAAGCTAGATTGGAATGTTCTTTCTCCGTCCAGGATTCTCAAGAGCTGTGGAGGTCGCGCCCGGATTCTCGCAAGGAATACCTCGCGAATCGCGAATGCGTGTGAGATCCAGCAAAGTTTATGGCATTGCTCTTCCCCAATTTCGTGATTTCCACAGACACCTCAGAGGATTGCTTGCTCTCCTGGGGAGCACTGCTCAAGAACTGCCGGGATCTGTCACGGGGGAGGCAAATCCACGCCCGCATTGCGCAGAGCGAGCACCGCCGCAACAAATACCTCGCGAATCTGCTCGTCCAGATGTATGGCAAATGCGGCAGCGTCGATGACGCCCGTGCAATCTTCGAATCCATAGAGAATCCTAAGCTCTTCTCCTCCAACATCATGATCCAGGCCTACGCACAGGCGAAAGATCTAAATCGAGCGCGCAGAACGTTCGATGGGATGCTCCGGCGAGATGCCTCGACGTGGAACTCGATCGTCACGGCATATGCCGACAACGGGCAGCTTGATAAAGCGCGAGAGATTTCCGAATTGGAGAAGAACGAGATCTCTTGGAATGTGATGATCACGCTTTGCATCCGCAGTGGAAAGATAGCTTCTGTCAAGGATTTGTTTGATCGGATGCCCGTGAAGACGATCGTTGCGCATACTGCCCTCATCACAGTATTTGCCAGGAAAGGGCATTTGGAAGAAGCCGAGGCTTTGTAGGAGGAGCGCGATGTAGAGTCATGGGCTTTTGGCTTTCGCTTTCTACAGACAACTCCAACGGAACAGAAAATGCAGGTTGGGCAGTCTTTTTCTCTTGAGTTGATACAAACGAAGACTTTCTGGCGACAGGCAACTGCATTTGAGGTGAAAAGGCTACTGATTGCCGGAAAGCAGAAAGAGGCTTTACGGGCTGCTCAAGACGGGCAAATTTGGGGATGTGCTCTTCTTATGGCCCGGCAGCTGGGACAGAAGGTACCTTGTCTTGTAGCTTTGATGTATAGACCGTTAGTGATGGTCTTGTGGTTTTTAATAGTTCTACACCGACACTACAGCGGAGATGGCTCAACGTCAGTTTCAACCAGGGTTTCCCCTCCGGACTCTAACTCTTCTTTATGCTGGTCAACATGCCGGAGTGTTCGTAGGGAACACTAATTCGTCGAACGTAACAGCGCTTCAACCTCAACTGGTTCCAGCGTCCGCTGTAGATGGTGCAACACAGGTGAAATACTTTTATCAAGCTACTCTCTTGCTTAAGGAGTGCATGTTGACTTGCAGGACGCAGTAGAAGGAATGCTCGAAGAATGGCAGGAAAACATGGCTATAATGGCAGTTAACCGAACTAATGGGGACGAGAGAGTGATTATGCAGCTTGGTGATTGTCTCTGGAGACATCGAGATGAGGTATATACATGGTCACACGTTGATGTTTCTCATAGTTTTAACTTGCAGATATGTGGAGCCCATATTTGCTATCTGGTTGCAAATGCTAGTTTTAAGCCTTTCTCCCCTCCTGCCAGACTTTGTCTTATAGGTGCCGACCATTGTAAGTATCCACGCACGTACGCTAGTCCAGAAGCTATCCAGGTAAGCCGTGTTTGTCCTCAATAACAATTGTTAACCTTTTCTTCATCAGCGAATGGAAGTGTACGAATTTGCAAGAGTGACCAGCAATTCCCAGTTTATTTTACTTCCATACAAGCTTATTTATGCATCGATGCTTGCTGAAGCTGGAAAGATAAACGAAGCTTTAAGGTTGGTAGTGATTTTTAACTGTATCCTTAAGGTTTCTCTTCGAAGGTATTGCCTAGCGGTGTTGAAAACATTGAAAACAGTGGGCCATGCAGCTGATGTGTGCAAAAAGCGGCTGTAGCCTTGGAAGAGCGTCTTCATATCCACTCTCAGGTTTGTAAGTGGACACTCGGCTTTTATACTCACTTTCCTGTTATCCAGGGACGATCGACGTCAATTGTGCAACGGTTTTTTGGCAATATTGGTCTACAAAAGATGATAGGCCCTTCGCCCCCGAAAGCTTCTGATAATGCCGATATTAATAACCATCCTGCAACAGCTTCTAGCAGAAGCAGTGTATCACTTGCCTTGTCGGCATCAATGGAACCCATAAGTGATATTATGTAAGTGATATTATGAGAAGATCCAACATGCCAGCGAGAAGCATTTCTGAGCCTGACTTTAGGCCTGCATAGGTAACTCGACTTGCTCTTGTGTACCTTCGATTAAGACTTGTATTCTTTCATCAGCTCGTTAGTCCAGCGAAAGGAACGCCAAACAGAGGCGTCTTTACTTCTTTCGTGCAAAGAGCGATGGGCTTCATAAAAACACCTTCGATGGAGGTTTGTATAAGCTTTGGAAAGAGCGCTAGCTGATTGATGGTTGGTCGTGATGCAGGCAAAGCTTGGCGACAGCAACAAGTTTAGATACGACGAGACACTGAAGCGCTGGAGCCGAGGCACAAGTGCCAGAGCTTCCGTTGGCTCCTCCTCCCACGGCAAACAAGCTCGTCTCGCGCGTGGAGGAGAACGGCGCTCCTATTTCCATGTCTCTGGAGAGGCCACAGCCAACTCCGGAAAGGCCGCAACCGGTTGTGAGTGGAATCCCACCAATGCCTCCGAGCAGTAACCAGTACGCAGCTCGCGCACGTCAAAACGTTAGATCAAGGTACCGTTTTGGTCATTCCCAGCACTCCAATCTCACGAGGTTTTTGCAGATATGTCGATACATTCAACAAAGGTAGCATAACACCATCCAAGACATCATTGGACTCTCCTCCACTGTTTGGCGTGGTGCCAAAGGCAAGCGCAAAGCCTTTGGCTCCAGCGAGATTTTTCGTGCCTGCGGCCGCTGCTGCCGCTGCTCCAGATATCAACAGCAACCATTCGGTGGATCCTTCCTCGGCACCGGCCTTTGTCCCCGACACGGCATTCTCAAACGGGAATGGACCGTTTGCAGCAGCAGCATTCGCTCAGCCGGTTGTACAGGATATGAGAAGCGATCCGGGGTCAATGCCTGATCATCTCTTGAGCGGCTCTTCACCAGCAATGTTCTATTCGAATCACTATCCAGCAGCACCGTCGACCGTCTCGTTGCCGCCACCTCCAGCTCTGGAAGTCACTCCGCCAGTGATGGTCGAGCAGCAGCAGCAAAACCAACACCAGGAAAGTTTGATTCATCAGCACCACCATCAACAGTCCGGTACAGTGGGATTCGAAGCTGCCAGTTCCTCCGGAGTGTTTGGAGACGACTTGCAAGAGGTGGAATTGTAAATCACACTCCACAAGTAAGTAGTAGTGACCGTTGCTGGGTGGATTTTGGTAGAGCAGTGTAGCGAAGTAGTAGTCGTGGAAGGAGGAATTTTTTTTGGCTGGGTGATTCTTTGGAGCCACGAGGGAAGCGAGGAAGCAAGATAAATAAAATGGATCAAACAATATAATTCAGGAATTAAATTCTATAAAACAATAAAATTTTAAATAAAAACGGTAAAATATAACATAGAATATAAATAGAATAAAATAGAGTAATAAACTAACATATACTCTTCAATACTTAATTTCAAGCCATGATTCTCATTATATAATCTTGTAAACAAAATTTCGATAAATACTAAAAAAATTCTAGCTATCTCATTTTTTGAAAAAACTTTTTATGGAGTCTCTTCTTGAACTATATGACAACATTAAATATCTGTACTACATTCTTTAATAATCCTGCCTAAATTCAAACAAAACTGATACAAGCTATTAGTATCATAACACTACCTTTGCATTTCAGATTCTTTGTCAAGCTTGCATTTCAAATTTTCCCCCTCTTAGCCTTATGGTTTTTTCTTAGGTTTTATCATTTGGGTTCTCTAGGGTTCACCATTACTGGTTCATGGAAGGCATTTTTCCTTCCTCTCTAGCACATCCCAAGCACATATCTCTCCCACACTGTTTTGGCAAGAGTATCCCTAATTCTAGTTGTTCTTCTATAGATATAAATGCTTGTAGTATATGGTATAAAGCTCTTGTGTGTTATACATGTAGTTATGGCTAAGGGACTAGTTATTGTTATAGACCCTTAAGATGCTCTACACAACATAACTTTAGGGTGGGATTATATTGAAATCTCAATCTCTTCTTTTGTTGATGTTTCAAGTAAGTTGGAAATAAGTAATCTAGTTCAATGGAAACTATCCCAAACTCTTTTTGGTAATAGTATACCATCTACCATACTAATAAGCACTTGCATTTCTTCTTCACATTATTGATAAAAAAACGAACACAACAGACCAAAGAAGAGAAGAACATAACAAACCAAAGACAACAACAACAAAACCAGAAAAGTAAATTCAACAAAATAATAACTCAAGAAAACTCTAGCACAACATTGAATGTACAAACACAACCCTGATCCACTCAAGAAACAAGAGTGAGATCAGATACAACAATTACGAGAAGAGAAGAAACAACTCCAGCAAAAATTATAAGTAGACAAGCAATAAAAGACTAAAGCTTAAATTGAAATCCTTGAGACTATGTTCAAGACTTTCGACAAAACGACCCAAGCTACACAAGTTGGCACACCAAACAACATCAACACAACAAATGCTGAGGAAAACACAATCAACCAAAATTTAGACTTAGATCAAGATTTACCACCACTCGAAACTCCCGATTATGAAGATTATAACACTGACAACTTTCAGTCTTATCCAGCTTCTTCAGAAACTGAACCATCACTAATAATAGAAAGATGGCACTCATCAACCCAACAACATCCTATGGCATCATAATTACATATCCAATCTTCACCAGTAGCAAAACTGAAGATGCAGAAAGACATTTCCAGCAATTCAACCAAATTATATAAGTCAATTAGTAAAAAGACAATAAAGAACTTCTATTCCCTTTCACACTTAAAAGAAAAGCATTAGAATGGAATCATAATCTTGATGAAAAACTTAAGTTTCAGAAAAAAGTTAAGCGGTTCAAAGAGAAGTACCAACCCAGTGGCACAACAATTGAATACCTAGAACATCTTAAGAGTATCAAATAAGGCGGTAAAGAAAATATCAAAGACTATACCCAAAGATTCAAATATCACGCAAAGTGTTACAAAGATCTCTTCACTGAACAAGGTAAGTATATTTGGTATGTACAAGGATTGAATAAGATATATTAGCAAATGGTTGCTCTCGCAAGTATGGAAGAAGATCTAGATGTGGAGACCTCTATTGACAATATTTCCAAGAAAATCAAGAACCTCGAGAAACAGCTCTGAAAATTTTTAAGAGTAAAAACAACAAGAACAAACGACTCTTCTGATGATAAGGAAGAATACAAACTCGAAGTCATGAAGAAAGACAAAAATCAAGAACTTACCAAAATACTCAAAAAAAGTTACAATCAAGAACAAACTTAGCGACTATGATGAAGATGTACCATGCATCCTAATCATGATAGGAAAGAACAAAGTTATATAAATAATTATCAACGGTAGAGAAAATGTTAATATTATCAGGTATTCAATCTACAAAGCAATGGGATTTGGACCAATCCACTTTACACCCTTCAATGTCAAGATAGCCGACAATCAAAGTGTACAACCATCAAGAATCGTGCACAACATTCCTATCAAAATTAAAGATCAAGAATTTAAGGTAACTTTTATCGTACTCAAGATGGCGAAAGACCAAAGCTACTATGAAGTACTCCTTAAATGAACTTGGCTCAAGATTATAGACATTATCACATACTAGAGGAACAATGCTATCATCCTTGGAGGACACAAAGATGCTCCACAACTATCTATTAGTATTGTGAAGAAGATCGTAAAGAAATTTTAACTAACCACAATCAAACAATATGACTAGAATGAAGGACTCGACAGCTATGAAGAAGCTCAAATTCTCAAGGCATACCTCAAATTAAAAATGCTAATCTAAGTCAATCTCAACCAAATCATCCTGAAGAAAACAAGCAATCAAGATCCTCAACTTCAAAATGAAGATTTCCAACACTAAGATTTGAAAGAAAAGACAACGCCAGCACACATGAAAAAACAACAAGAACATTCAAGCATCAAACTTGAATAGTTTAAACCAACGCATCAACAAATTCCACTCCAAAAACAACCAGGTCTACGACAAGAAGGATCACGACTTACACTAATACTCAACCTTGAAGAACCAGCTTAAGAAATTAACCTTAGAACACCTAAAGAACCAAAAAAACTTCATATTGCCCAAGAGCTTGATGAAGATTTTAAAGCAAAAGCAACCCAACTACTTGACACTTATCAAGATGTTTTCACCTGGTCCTAGATTGACTTACAAGGAATTCCACCTAAACTCTACATACATCGGATTGAACTTCAATCACAAGTGGTACCAACAAAGAAATCAGCCTACTGAATAAATCCCAACATACAAACCAAAGTCAAGGAAGAGCTTGACAAACTCAAAAATATTGGATTCATCTTCCCAATTCAAAATCTAAAATGACTATCACCATTAGTCATTGTCCCCAAGAAGAACAACAAGCTTAGGATTTGTGTTAACTATAAGAAACTCAACGATACAACTCAAAAGGACACTTTTTCAATTCTATTCTCTGATGAAATTCTTGATGCAGTTGTAGGATATGAGATGTACTCCTTTCTCAATAGCTTCAATAGACACAATCAAGTACATATTGCGCTTGAAGATCAACACAAGACAGCTTTCATCAATCCATGGGAAGCATATGCCTACCTTCGCATGCCTTTCAGTCTCTCCAATGCACCATTCATGTTTCAATAGATCATCACTGACACTTTTCGAGAATACCTCACTGAATTTATGAGAGTATTTATGGATGACTTCAATGTCTTCAACAACAAAGAAGATCATCTCCAATGCTTAGAGAAATGCTTCATCAAATGCCATGAACACAATATCACATTGAACCTTGACAAGTGCATTTTCTTTGTCAAATCAGGAATTCCACTCAAACATTAGTTTCCAAAGAAGGAATCCTCATCGACAAGGACAAGACCTTCACAATCACCAACATACAATATCCATTCAACATTTCAAGCCTTCGATCATTCCTCAGTAAGATGGGATACCATTGAAGATTCATCAAGACTACGCCAAGATTGCAAAACCTATCACCAAACTCCTCAAGAACAATCAAACTTACAACTGGACTCAAGATTGTCAAAATGCCAAGAATTCCCTCACCCAAGCTCCAAAACTTGCTCAACCAAACTGGAACAAAGACTTCAACATCCAAGTCAACGCCTCCAACTATGCCCTCAGAGCAATCCTTTTGCAACAACAAGATTATAAAGACCGACAAATCTACTATGTAAGTTGAAGACTCAACTCAGCCGAAATGAACTACACTACAACTGAAAAAGAAGCTTTAGCAATGATCTACACACTCCAAAAGTTTTGATACTACCTACTCGGTAACTTCCTCCATCTTCTCAACAAAACAATCCTCACCGGTAGAATTGCATGATAGTTCTTACTACTTCAAGAATACAACTTCGAGATCATCTACAAGCCTGGAAGAGAACATGAACACCTAAGCCGCATTACAACCAATGAACAATTGAAACAGAATATGGATGACTTTCCTGACTGCAATATCCTTTGAATCCACACGTCACCAACCTAGATGGACAACATTTACTACTACCTCACAACAGCAACAATACCAAGTTGATATTCAACCTTCGACAAGCGCATGAGGACAAGACTATATTCAGTCCTGGGAAGAAAATTGTACAAACAAGGAAGAGACAACATTTTATGAAGATGTGCAAACCCAAAAGAAACACAAGATCTACTTAAAGAAGCCTATTATGGATAAATAGAACATTTTGCTAAAGAAATCATAGCTTGAAAAATTTTAAAAGCAAAATTTTGGTGGCTAACACTTTGGCACAACTAAGCCAAGTTCTATAAAAAATGTGACATCTACCAATGAACCAAGTATGCACTAAAGAAATAAACTCAAGAACTTCATCTAGAAACTCCACTCGAACCTTTTTAATGATGAGGACTCGACTTTGTTGGTCCACATATGACAAGCTCCAAGCAAAACTAATACATTTTAATTGCAATAGACTATATGATAAAATGGGCTGAAGCTCAACCAATAAAGACTCCTACAACAAAAAACACAACAAAGATCATCTACGAAAACATCATCACAAGATATGGCTTATCTTGAGAACTCGTCACTGATCAAGGAACACACTTCATCAATGAAGCCATCAAGATTTTAACTCAAGAATTCATTATCCAGCACAA